GTGACCAGCCGCTCGCTCGGCGGTGTGGCCTGGGCCCCGGGAAGCGATGGGGAGGGAAGGAGGTCCCCAAACATGGAGCATCTTCCGTTGCTTCCCGCAGCGCGTGGTCCTCGTGCCGTCAGCCACGAGCTGCCGCGTGAACCAGAGTGTGGCACACGAGTATGTGTTTTATTATATTTTTTAAAATATATTTTATTGATTTTTTTACAGAGAGGAAGGGAGAGGGGTAGAGAGTTAGAAACATCGATCAGCTGCCTCCTGCACACCTCCCACTGGGGGGTGTGCCCCGCAAACAAGGTACATGCCCTTGACTGGAATCGAACCTGGGACCCTTCAGTCCACAGGTGGACGCTCCATCCACTGAGCCAAACCGGCCAGGGCTGTATTTTATTATTTTTTAAATATGTTTGTATTGATTTCAGAGAGGAAGGGAGAGAGAAAGAGAGAGAGAGAGAGAGAGAAACATCAATGATGAGAGAAAATCATGGATCCGCTGCCTCCTGCACGCCCCCACACTGGGGATCGAGCCTACAACCCAGACATGTGTCCTGACCAGGAATCGAACCTGGGACCCTTCAATCTGCAGGCCGACGCTCTATCCACTGAACCAAACCGGCCAGGGCAGCATGCGAGTATTTAACTCTCCGGTAATCTTGCTTGTAGGGGTTAGTGGATTTTCTCCTTGTGAAACCAAAGCAGAATTCCCGTGCAGCTGATGGCACGGACCCCGAGTGGCGTGGAGAAAGTCCGGGACAGCTGTTGCTATTTCATCGTTAGGGTTATTGCCTCCTGGGGATCTTTAGTGTCACATGGTCGTTTGGGACAGGGAAGATGCTGCCAGCACCTTCGACAAGATATATCAAATAGTTTAATTACTTCCGTCTGAGGGTTTAAAGTGCGTTAGGTGTAAAAAAGAGCCAGGAAATCTAGGGAAGCTTTTAAAAATGTCCTTAAATCATTGTGATGGGAACATGAAGGGGTTACACGTGTCAGGAGATGCCAAGCAGAATAGAAAATAGCACACAGCCCGACCAACGTGGCTCAGGGGTTGAGCTTTGACCTACGAACCAGGAGGTCATGGTTCGATTCCCGGTCAGGGCACATGCCGGGGTTGTGGTCTCCATCCTCAGTGTGGGGCGTGCAGGAGGCAGCTGATCAATGATTCTCTCATCATGGATGTTTCTCTCTCTCTCTCCCTCTCCCTTCTTCTCTGAAATCAAAATATATTTTTAAAAACCCCCACAAATACTAGGTGATTCTTTAAGGTAATAAAGTAAACTATGGTTCTGCAAATAAGAAATGGACATGTGTCAGAGATTTTTCTCAACTCACTGGTGAATGGGGGAACCCATTCCAATTGGTTCGATAGAGTTAGCGGGACCAGGCCTTTATGGGCCATTAGTAAAGGAATGTGAGGGTTCGATTGCTGGGTTAAATACCAACCTGGTTAATGCCTGGAAAGGCAATAAACCGTAACTTTTGGGATTGTCTTTCTGGCCAGACAGAAACTATTTGCATCATCACCAGACGAACTCTACACGTTAACCTCTGCCCCTCCTGAGCTGTAAAAATACCCCAGTCACTCGAAAATCAATCAAAGACGAAGGCAGAACACCCAGTATGTCCCTTACTTGTGTCTGAGTTTTAAATATATATACATTTTTTTCCAGTTTACTAAGACAGTCTCCCCTTCCATCTGCTACTATTGCTCTTTCTTTCATATATTCCCATAGTTCTTTGCACAGCTCTGTCGGGACCCCTACCCTCCCTTACAGGTAGGTAATGGTACCTACCATTTGTAAAGTGCTGTGACCACAAAGTACTTTTACTTTCTTTTTTTTTAATGATTCTTTTTTTAAAAAATATACTTTTATTGATTTTAGAGAGGAAGGGAGAGGGAGAGAGAGAAACATCCATGATGAGAGAGAACCATGGATCGGCTGCCTCCTGCACGCCCCACACTGAGGATCGAGCCCACAACCCGGGCATGTGCCCCGACCGGGAATCGAACCGTGACCTCCTGGTTCATGGTGGACGCTCAGCCCCTGAGCCCAACAGCCGGGCTCTCTGGCAGTTTTTGCTCGGATTGCTATGTGCTGAAGACGCGGCTGTGAAAATAACTTCAAACCAGGAAATCTCAGTTCTTTCTCTCCCGTCTGACAGATTTCCAGCACAAAATCACCGTGCAGGCCTCTCCCAACCTGGACAAACGGAGGAGTCTGAACAGCAGCGGGTCCAGCCCGCCCAGCAGCCCCACTGTGATCCCACGGCTCCGGGCCATACAGCGTGAGTGCCACCCCGTCCCCAGGACCTGTGTCTTTTTCTGTCATTGGTTCAACTGGTTGTAACTGAGCATTTGACACGGAATAGGTGTCACAACTATTGGGAAAACAAAATTTAGTCTTACATTCCTAAATCTAGTTTTCTTCCATTGATAACATTTTAAAAAGTATACTTTTATTGATTTCAGAGAGGGACAGAGAGAGAGAGAGAAACTTCAATGATGAGAGAGAATCATTGATCGGCTGCCTCCTGCACACCCCCTACTGGGGATGAAGCCCACAACCCGGGCATGTGCCCTGACCAGGAATTGAACCGTGACCTCCTGGTTCCTAGGTTGATGCTCGACCATTGAGCCACCCCGGCCGGGCTTGGCTCTTATTTTCCCCCCAAATACAGTGAAATTCTAACTGTCACAGAATGTTAAATAGATAAATAAATAATCCAATCTTTGCTACTAATTTGCCTAGATTTTGTACCTTTTCTTCTAATTTATTTCAATTTTTTTGCGAATTTTCTCATTAGAGAAAGCTCACCAGTGAAAGAAATCATTTATTTTTATACTTCTTCATTGTTTATGTGTTTTCAACAAGGTAGTTTTTGTTTGTTTGTTTGTTTGTTTTTTTACAAATGATTTGATTCTTCTGACTTTAAAGTTTCTTACTTGGTGAGTGAATGATGCTCCCTGTTTAGTGACTTCGGATGAAAGCAACAGAACGTGGGGAAGGAGCACGGTCTGCCGACAAGAAGAGTTTGAAGATGTAAGAAGGAATTTCAAGAGGAGAGGTTGTACCTGGGGACCCAGTTCGATCCAAATGAAAGAAAGAACTGATTGCAAAGAAAGGTACGTGTGCGCCACCTGGTGGCCCCAGTGGGTACTGCGACAAATGGCAGCACCCTCTCAAGTACGGCATTGGCCAGACTTAACTTAAAAAAAAAAAAAAATTAGACTTCTATGTGGAATAGAATGAACAAAATAAACTGATGAACAAAATAGATCCAGAAACATGGAAGCATAGAACAGACTGACGAATCTCAGAGGGAAGGGGGCGAGGGGGACGGGAAGATATTAACCAGAGAGCTTACATGTGTGGATGCATAACCTAACTCGTGGACACAGACCACAGTGTGGTGAAGGCTGGGGAGGAGGTGGGAGCAGGAGGGGGGAGTCGATAGGGGGGGAAAGGGGGACCTGTGTAATACTTTCAACAATAAAGATAAATTTAAAAAATAAATAATAAGATAAAAAGTTTAAAAATTAGGATACTGTAGAGATATTGGAATATGATTTCCATTTCTAGGATGAGTTTATCATACTCATTCGTTATTATTTAAAGTTACGTCGTTAAATCTCCGACATATTTTCTGTCTGATTTTTAAGGTTTTATTTGTGCTTGGCTCTTTGGCCCCTTGAGTGTGGCTCTTCCACAAAATACCACGTGCGGGTGCGCACGTACAGTGCGATGGAAACTTCGTGGCCCATGCACAGAAGTTGGTATTTTGTGGAAGAGCCACACTCAAGGGGCCAAAGAGCCGCATGTGGCTCTCGAGCCGCGGTTTGCTGAGCCGCAGTTTGCCGACCACTGACCTAACCCATGGACACAGACAGCAGTGTGGTGAAGGCCTGGGGAGGAGGTGGGAGTGGGATGGAGGCAGTCAGTAGGGGGGAGAAAGGGGGACCGGTGTAATACTTTCAGCAATAAAGATAAATTTAAAAAGTAAATTAAGATAAAAAGTTTAAAAATTAGGGTACTGTAGAGATATCTGGATATGATTTCCATTTCTAGGATGAGTTTATCATACTCATTCGTTATTATTTAAAGTTACGTCGTTAAATCTCCGACATATTATCTGTCTGATTTTTAAGGTTTTATTTGTGCTTCGTTAGCTCCTCAACACCTAATTGGCTATGTGTTTCTATTACATTAAAATAAACATCTTGCCCTAGCTGGTTTGGCTCAGTGGTCGAGCATCGGCCTGTGGACTGAAGGGTCCCGGGTTCGATTCCTGGTCAAGGGCACGTACCTCGGTTGCAGGCTCCTGGCCCAGCCCTGGTCGGTGGCATGCAGGAGGCAACCGATCGATGTGTCTCTCTCTCACATCGGTGTTTCTCTGTCTCTTCCTCTTCCTTCCACTTCCTCTAAAAATCAATGGAAAAAATATCTTCAGGTGAGGATTAAAAAGGAAGGAAGGAAGGAAGGAAGGAAGGAAGGAAGGAAGGAAGGAAGGAAGGAAGGAAATAAAATACGTGTCTTTCTCTCGTAGAATAAGACCTCTCTCGGATGGCAACAGTCCTTGGTCAACTCTCTTCATAAAACATCACAAAACCATGCCGTTGGCATCGTTATTTGTGGACCAACCAGGTATGTGCCTCAGAAACAGAATTTGCTTCACACTCGGCTTCTGGGTGTTGTAGAAGCGGTCCAGCAGCCTTAGCATATCATTAGCATATTACGCTTTGATTGGTTGGACAGCGACCGGTCGACCGGACACTTAGCATATTAGGCTTTTATTACGTGGGGTTATCTGTGCCTGTCCAGACAGAGGGAGTCATCCGAGAAGCCATCCTACTTCTTTCTTAGAATCTTTTGATCCCCATCACTCCTCCTCCTAGACCAGTGGTTCTCAACCTTCCTCATGCCGCGACCCTTTAATACAGTTCCTCATGTGGTGGTGACCCCCAATTTCATTGTTACAAATGGAACATCATTAAAGCATAGTGATGAATCACAAAAACAATACGTAATTATAGATGTGTTTTCCGATGGTCTTAGGCCACCCCTGTGAAAGGGTCGTTTGACCCCCAAAGGGGTCAAGACCCACAGGTTGAGAACCGCTGTCCTAGAGGAATACCAGGACATATTGGGCTCACTCTGTTCGGGCACCATTAAGCTATGGATTTCATTTGACAACAGCATCTCCCCTCTTTCGTGTAGATACTTTGGGGTTTGGTTACCTATACTAGGTGCTCAGTATACCCGAGGGCATATATTTTTCCATTGATCTTTTAGAGAGAGAGTGGGAGGGAGGGGGAAAAAACAGAGAAACATTGATGTGAGAGAAACACATCGATTGGTTGCCTCCTGCACGTGCCCTGACCAGGGTCCTGCAACTGAGGTACGTGCCCTCGACCGGAATGGAACCCGGACCTTTTGGTCCACAGGCTGACGCTCTGTCCACTGAGCCAAACGGGCTAGAGCTATTGTGCGTGTAGTTTAAAGGACTTTCCCTGGAAGACGCTCCTCCTTTGTGCATCTCTGCCTTTCTCAGGTGCTTGCGAAGAACCCAGACCCTCTGCCGATGGATCAGAGCCCAGAAAACCACAGCAGATCAAACCCTCAGCGCCAGCCCCGGCGGACCCGCCTCTGGGCAAAGATGGGCAGCGAGAGAGCCCGCTGGAGACTGAGAACTGGGAGGAGGCTGCCTCAGCCGCGGGCACCCCTCAGGGGACCCCGACCCACACTCTGAGCAGGCCGCCCCCCAGGAGAAGGACGGAGGGCGCCCTGTACAGCTG